TGTACGGATTTGGTGCATGTCTTTAAAAGCGCGGCTTTTTTGGCGCTGATCTCAGAAATCTCAGAGAGTTGCAGTGTTGCAATTTTCTTAGTGTCTGTTAAGGCGAGCAGCACGCTGTTGAGGAGAAGTTGGTTGCTAAGCCACCAACTCAACAGTGACAGAAAACATATCACTCTGCTGCGGATGTCTATGTAGAGGTTTATGTGTCGTCGAGGAACGATGACCGCGGCGTCCTCTGTAGTCGTCTGTGGAGTCTGAGCTGTGATGTAGCCGTAGAGTAGTGTACTCAGTTCCCATGTTTGGGTACTCAGTGTTGTTTTTGTTCCGTCACTTGTCCACAGCACGGACTCGACACCACACATTAATGACCTGAGCGACTCATTGTGTGCTGCTTTGCCCTCAGAGGTGAACTTTGCCTTTACTTGTGAAATGATTTGACACATTGAAGCTCTGATGAACATCTTTGCAAAGAAATCGCAAATCTTCGTCCGCACGCTGTCCAGTTCTTGCATCTGCCCCTGTGTTGTAGAACTTTGGTTCTCCTTGGCGTACAGGGCCTCGGTCAGGGACTGAGTAATGTCATCTGCAGTACTCTGGGTATCAGCAGAAAACTCCTCATCCAGCATTCTGTACTCCGCGTGGGAAACATCATCCAGAATGGGACTGATGATTTGATTCACCTCGTCACTGATGATATCCTGAAGAGACTGTGCCTTCTTGCGTGACGTTTGTCTTCTATATAAACCTTGTCCTACCTTGCAGTGCCTTTTCTTCATCTTTCCTGCCAGAGACCCTAAAATGTTGCACAGTGACCCAATCATGGCGTTAAGTCTTTGCGGGGGAGTGACCCTCATTTGTGTCCGTGGTGTCTTTACACAGTCTTCAATTTCGGTCGCGATAAACTCGGTCAGATTGTCGGTGCTGGGACTGTGGACCGACTCGACTCCGAGAGTCTCCTTGATACTGAGGGTAACCGAGCTGTTCACGCTGTCCTGCACTTGCTCCCGCCTGACGCCCGGCTTTGACCAGATGCCTGAGAGACCGCTGAGGACTTTGACCAACATGTGTGCTAGTCTGTGTTTAGTATTGATGTCAGGTGTCCCTGAGGCCACCAAGCGCCACTGGTCAGCAGTTAGACGCTCGACACAGGACTGGAAATGTGGACGCACGGTGTTGATCGACTCTTCTGTCAGCTCCATTGTTTCTTCAGTTCAAATTACCGATTCATGGTTTTGTCTTGATATGTTATTTTCAGTAGGAATGTGACTGTGTAAGGCTGGTTAGAAGCACAGACTTATCCTCGCTGACTTCGTCTTGGTGGCATCAGTTAAAGGTGGGGTTTAACAGCAGTTGGTCAACATGATGTAGCGTTGATGTTTCTCAATTTCATTCCCAGCCTCCTCCTTGGCCTACATCTTCTCCTTCTCTTTGTATTTGCTTGCACAAGTTGCCAAGCATATTTATCGTCTGTGAGATTGCCGATTGGTTAGTGATGGCTTCCATCTCTAATGTTACGACGTTACTTCCTGCCTTTTCTTTTCCAATATTTTAATGTTGGGGAACATCAAAGAATCAAAGGAGTTGGTTCCACATCTGTTCGACATTTAGACAGGTGGTTTTTTTACATGTTGATTAAAAGCACATAGACTAACAATATACTGATCAATCAAGAACTCTTTTCATTGGGTTGATGTCCATGGACACACAAGCAACAACCTATCAAAGAAAAATAATCACTTTGACATGTCCTTTCATTAGTGATGCTAGTAGTCAGCATTATCATGTGACACATTTTGCGGCTGGTATTAAGGGACCAGTTGGGAGTAGACTTATCATGTGACACATTTTGCGGTTGGTATTAAGGGACCAGAACCTAAGACCTTTTGCATCAGTATCTTAACTCTTCCCTATTATCCGATACCCGATCTCACCACCTAATCAGTGCTGGGGCTATTCAATCTTAAAAACAGATCTAAAAATTACTGCATATCAGTATTAGATTTTGATTAGATTAATGTAAAATGTTACATGTTATATTACACGAACAACTGCTCAAACCGCAGGTTCTTGAGCTGTTGTGTGAGTTGTGTGAGTTGTGTGTTGTGTGTGTGTGTTGTCAGGCATCTTCAGGCCTCAGCAGTGATTACCAGCCTATCCATCTGTGGACGCCGTGTGGACGATTTGTCATCCAACATGGAGGAACTTCCTTGTGTGTCCGTTGATGTGAGACCGTCAGCCTGCTGTTATCCTGGCACCTCACAGCAAAAAAATATCGTTTTTGGATCGGCTCGATTCATTTATTTATTTTTCTTGTTAATTCTGTCAGTCAGATGGAACGGCGAGTGTACACTGCACTGTAGGCCTCGACCTGGTTGCCAGGCAACAGAGCAAAGACCTCCTCAGCAGGTCACCAGGCCCGTCTTTCAGTGGCTTGAACATTCTGTGTGTGTGTATATGCATGTGTGTGTGTGTGTGTGTGTGTGTGTGTAACAGTACGTGATGGAGCAGATTTTAGAACAAAAAGCAGTGTTCTGTGTGTTTACTGACACTCCACTTCTGTGTTCCTGACACACTGCAAACATACAAATGAATTCTCCACCCCCTCACATTGCCTCAAAACCAGCTGTGCCCCAACCCTTCCTGCCCACCCACCCACACACACACACACACACACACACACAAACACAAACACATGAATTATTTTCTTCGCCTCATTGTATTTTTTTTTATCTTAGTTTGTTTTCTTTTATAAACCTCGCTCTTCGTACAGTTTGATTATTTCCGCTCTTTTCTGTTTTCTATTCTATTCTATTCTTATGAGTGTATAAAGTGCAGTGATTGAAATCAGTGAATCATCGTCACACATTTAGAGTAAATAAACACAGACACAGATGACTTGTACATTGCACTGTGTGAAACCAGCTAGAGATTCTGGCAGTTACCTCATGAAAATGTGACCATGTGTGAATAATTAAGATTAAACCAGAGCACAGGGCTCCTCTGGTCCTGTGTGCGTTCAGTTCAGGCTCCCCTTTTATAAATTTAGTTCATTTGATCAGTTTTCACGCTTTAAACAAAAGAAACTACGTCACATGAATCACAGAATCACCCAACCCTGCCAAGATTGAAATTACAGGGTGATCGTGCAGCGTGTTCCTAATGGGATGGCAGATTGTGTCCTGGGAAGTTTCCTTTCAGACCTTGATGAAGACATTATGACGTCTCTGGGCAGTTTGTTGTGTTCAGTAGATGTAGAAATACAGCGTGTTCCGTAGGTGCTAAATCAGTTTCAGGTCAAACCAACATAAGATCCACTTGATGATTCCTCTGTCGTTAATATCCAGGATCTGCCTACTGCACGTGGCTGGTCATGTGCTGTAGGTCTGACAAATGGCTGAAGACCCTGATACCTGAAGAGTTTAGTACAGCTTTTACCACAGCCTCTCTGAATAATTAGTCATTACTGATTCTCAACCACTGTAACGCGGGACATCAGTGTGTTGTGACATAATCGAGTGTATGGTTGAAGATTACTGACAGTCATTTTGAAAGGTCTGAAAACTATTATATATTTGTTGTTAATACATTATCTTCATTCTGACTCGGGGGCAGCAGATGGCTATAAAAAACAAAAAATAGATAGAATTCATTTGGTGTCTGTCTTTCTTCAACTCCTGCTGTGCTCAACTAAACAGGCCCAGGTTCCACACACTGAGTCAGTAAATTGTGAATATATATATATATTATCTTATTTGATGTTTTTGTTTTTCTGGTGCACGGTGGGATTTTTGTGTTGTAAAATGTGTGTCATGGATCTAAAAGGTTGCGTTACACCTCCAATCCCCAGTTTTGTTTTGTTATGGATTCTGTCCAGGATTACACGGAGAACCAGTGACAACATGTGTGTACTTGTGACAACATGTTGTCTAGGATATACAGAACTGTTTGGTAACCTGTTCCAACTGTGGATTTCACTTCACATGTGAGCTGAACTAGCTGGAACAACGACGACTGTATAATGACTAATGAGAATGGACAGTATGAAGAGACAGAAGTGTCCTTGGATTCTAAGCTGCACATTTTTGTTGCACTGTTTGTTTTACAGAGGAGTTCAGACCAAATCATTCAGATGTAATTGCTGTTATCTTCAGGCTAAACCTGATAGCTGCACAGGAATGCTGGATGATGATAACAGGAGAATAGAGAGAACTGTTGGGCCAGAAACAGCAGCTCAGTAGGTAGACTGCACCCCTGCTGCAGCAGAGCTTATCATCAGGTTGGAGACATTTGTGTTTTTTTTTTTATTGAAATACATTCCTTAGTGTCTCTGCAAGGTTAAACCTTTAGTAAAGGTTGGACTTTGTTTTCAGCTTCTCAGTCTCAACATACACACATTATTTACCTGGAAACATTTTGTTCTGTTTGTACGTCATTTCATACACTGATTATAGTCAGTTGAGTCAATTATCTGTCTGTCTATATATATACTGTATATATATATATATATATATGTGTGTGTGTGTGTGTGTGTGTGTATGTTTATGTATATATGTATACATATGGTTTGGAGTAGAGCAGAGAAAATTGATGCTGTGAAGCACTTTGTAAATTACTGTATATACTTGTTTTTTTTGCAATATATTTTTCAAAAAGACGTAAATCTACATCCTCGCAGTTTCTGTCCTTACTTCACCGTCTGTGGTGAGACCCTCCACCCAGAGATTCGTTCTCATTCTATAAAGGGATTTGGTGCTAGCACCGCCGTGCTATATTAAGCCGGGAACATGCAGAATATTTCTCTGAGTCAATCAATCACTACACTCAGAGTCAGAGTCTGCCATGAAGGCGTCAATGTGGGAAGTTTCCTGTCACAGCTTTAATGTTATGCAGCGTGATTATAAAATGTCCCCTCATGCAATTTTAGACACTGAAGGCGCATTACCCCGTCTGCTCACAAGGGACAATAATAACTCCCTGTTTTTTTTTCTTCTTCTTTTCAGTGTGCTGTTTTGTAGTCCACAAGCGTTGTCATGAGTTCGTCACCTTCTCTTGCCCTGGGGCCGACAAGGGACCTGCCTCAGATGTAAGTACAGAAAACATACAATAGGGAAATAATTAATCATCATTATCAAACCTCTGTCTACTGCGTACTAGATCCTCCAAAGACCTATTTGGAAGGTCAATGTAAAAATAATATATATTCTTGTGCAAATAAAAACAACAATTATCGAAGTGTTTTGATTCAAATTCCTAGTGGAGCGAATCGCCCGAGTTTCAGTTAAACATTAATTGTGCACATAGTTAATAATGTTAATGATGTTTGTTAGCAGAAAATGCTAAGTCAGCACCTGTTGTAAATGTACAACCGTGTGGTCTTACCCTTTCATAAGATGACCAGGCCGGGGTGCCAACACTCCTCCTCTAACAACCTGACACCAACAAACAAAAAAAAAAAATATAAAATATAAATTACTCTGCCGTTTACTCAATGTTCTTGCCCAACTCTTATGTGCAGTGTCAAAAGCAGATAAGAGTTGTGCAACTGAGGAAGCAACTGGAAGATATACACATGAATGTTGCACTTACCCAACCAACTAACCATGCAGTCTACTTCCTGTCGTTTTGTATTACTTCCTTCATTCCTTTTTGCTTTGGTATATGTTGTTCATTATTATGAGGGTCAGACGGAGATCTTAGTAGCTGGCCGTCTTCCTTCTGACTTTCTTCAACTATATACAATATATATATATATATATATATGTATGTATGTATATGTACATATGTATGTATATGTGTGTATATATGTATGTATACAGTGTTAGCTATCAAGTCTCAAGAAAAAAAAGAAAAGAAAAATAATTGGTTTTATTTGCTTTGTTGGTCATTGTACATACTGTATAAAGACAAATATGCAGAAGCTGCACCACCCTTAAGTACTTTTCTGCCACGTCGGAGTTTTCCATATTGCTAAAGATGTGCCAAGATTAAGCAATAGCTTATCGCTTTGGTCGATGTACACGTTATGTCATCTAAACTGAAGTCAAGAACTTTCTTTCTCCATGATAGAAAGCCACAAAGTATGGTACAAAAAAATACATCTCTGAACAATTAAATCATACTGTATATACTGTAGTCACTCTGTTGTTGACAAATTTAAATTCCTTTAATTTTTCGCCTCTCTCTGAATTATCTTTCAGGACCCTCGCAGTAAACATAGGTTTAAGGTCCACACTTACTCGAGCCCGACCTTCTGCGACCACTGTGGGTCACTCCTGTACGGGCTGATACACCAGGGCATGAAGTGTGACCGTAAGTACACAGCAGTTTGTTTAAGAAGAGTGCATTTAAATGCAAAACACTTTCGTTCAAATGGTAAAATGGTTGAACATCAAAAAGTAGCAATCTGTTTTCGAGCACTGTTTCCATCATCATCATCTTTGACACAAACTGTATGGAACTACTTTAATGCACTAATATTTTAGACTAAATTACACCGTGTTTTTATCATCATCACTGCATCAAAATACATTTTTTTTAGGGATTTAAATTATTTAAATTTAGACAATCACTTCACTTTAGACAAGTGTCAAACAAAATTTGGAAATACAATTGTATGAAACGTCTGCTCTAACATACTGTAAGGTTGAAGCCCTTCTTCAAGGCAGTATATTTGTTCTTCATAACTGACCTGGGTAACAGTTAATTATTTAATCAAAATTGCAGCAATCTAATGCTTAATCATTTATTATTTTAATGTTTCGGTAGATGGAATAAAACAAATTATTTTGAAAGTAAGGGACTCTAGATTCATTGAAAAAAACCTCGACACTTGCAGTAGGATAAAACCACCGCTTAATCTGTCCACCACTTTGAAATACATCATCTGGCGACATCTTGTGGACAGGTTGAATTTTACCGTTAAACTGCACTTCTGAGAGCAGCGTTCAGTTTGTGCCAGTTTTGCAGTTGTGATGAGGGATATTTTATTTTTTATTAAAATGTTGTTTTTCTCCTTTTCTTATCTCGACTAATTTAAACCATTCTGTGTTAAACAACCAGAAAAAACAGCTCGACTGACTGTGCTTTTTGTGTTTCTGTGGACTGACAGACTGTATGATGAACATCCACAAGAGGTGTGTGGCCAACGTCCCAAGCCTATGTGGGACGGATCACACTGAGAGGAGAGGACGCATCTATATCTCTGCACAGATCAAGGAGGAGGCGCTCACCGTCATCAGTGAGTCCTTGTTCTGGCATTTCCCACCTCGCCTTTACTTCTCTTTGAAATAGAGAGAGAAAACTGGAAAATAGAGAGAGAAAGAGAGAGAATCATCTAGGGCTCTGTCTGTCTAAGACTGGATCTGGAAAGTCCATTAGTCAGTCAATGATTTAACGATTGACCTACATCACCACTGGGATGTGTGGCCACGTGCTGGTTTGCCCTCTCTCTCTCTCCCTCTCTCTCTCTCAGACAGCTGTCGATTGATTCTGGGTGAAACTAAATTGTTGTAAAGTGTTGTCAAATGTTATTTAGGGCAGCAGAGAACAACACTTTACTCCCTGATGTCCTCAGCAGAGGACAAACTAACGCTGTCTCCTTTACACCCCCCCACCACAGTCAAAGAGGCCAGAAACCTGGTGCCCATGGACCCCAACGGTCTGTCAGATCCCTATGTGAAGCTCAAACTTATTCCGGATCCCAAGAGTGAGAGCAAGCAGAAGACCCGGACCATCAAATGTTGCCTCAATCCCACCTGGAACGAGACCTTCACTTTGTGAGACATCTTCTTCTTTGGACCACGTTGTTTGAATTCACACATTAGTGATTAGTTTGACATCAAATATATATATATATATGTGGGAGTCAATACAGGGAGGCTGAAGGGCCACATGTGGCTCAGGAGCCAGAGGTTGAAGATTAAAATTTCATCAAACTCTTAGACCAGTTTGATCACAAATTCAAGTGTTTTTTGGATCAGGAATTCCCTGATTTTAAAATGGCAAAATGCCACTCTAACAAAGACAAAAAGGTTAATCTGACTATTAATTTGATCATTAGATGTATGAGGAACTAAAGAGTGATTTCTTTGCTTTACAAGAGACGATTTCTAAGTTTCAGGATTGTGACAGGAGCAGCTGTGGGTTCAAATGAATTTTCCTGTTGGATTTTTTGTTCTTTAATTAAAATATTAATTGAATGCTTTTTTTTT